CACTTTGTTTTGAGTAGTTAAAACCTCAAATCAGCAGAATATTGAATGAAATCGGTGAAATTTGTAAGGTAACTCATTAAACTAACATCCAGAAGAWAAATCAATGATTTTGAATGATTATCTAGAGAGTTATGGCTGTTTAAAGTAGGGTTTACCTACTGAAAAACTCTCAGATGCACATATATAATGTTTTGAGTATTTGGGGAGTCAAACTCAATGTTTTTGAGTGAGACCAATTGGATTACAACCCCAACTCAATAAATAAACTTTTAGAAGAAGATTCATAACATTTGAACATATCATTTTCAAGATATAGACGATTTGTGCACATGCACATAATCTGTCAGCACCTAAAAATGCCATTTTTAAGAAACAAACCCACATGCAACATGATTTTACCCATTTTCTTGAGTTCTAATGTTTGGGTCATAGATTACCACCATCATATGAACATTTTTACATGTTTTTGGTGTGTAATCTCTCCTTAAAAACTTTCGAAGGTTAGAAGATAGTAGAGAGAAATGCATAAAAGTGGGGTTTTCCCCCAAAATTTGCAAGAAAAAGATGGAGATGAAGTTGTTACCTTGATTTATGATGAGAGGGATGTAATATCTTCAAAATCCTTGCTATTTTGATGGAGAAATGGGCWGGAGTAGGAAGGATGAAGAAGATGATTCTTTGCGAGACTCTTGAGTTTAGAGAGGGAAAGAGAGGGAGTTTCAAGTTTTGAAATGAGAAAATGAGTTGTAATTGGAGAAATGATGCAATTTATATGTGGGTAATAGGAGGGAAAGGGGAGGGAGGGGACGGCCATGGGAGCCCAAGCCCAATCTCTCTCTATATATATATATATATTTTTTTTTTTTTAAAACCAAAGCCCAAAATGCTAAAATGTCATTTTTCTCAATTTTGACATTTTTTTTAAATTAAAAACCCATGTTGGCTAAATTCATTTAAATAAAAAAAATTTATATTTAAAACACCAAAACTTTGTGTTTTATATAAATTGGGTATAAATTGGAGCATTTGGCACTGTATAGGACATTTCAGATAGTTACGGGTCGAAACCGGACTTTCTAAGCAACTACCGGAATCTCTAGAAATTTTTCGATCAGACTAACCTAACTAACTCCTAATCTTATAAGTTACCTTCAATAACACTAATATAAACTTAATAAGAGTTAACCTGGAAGTTCAAATTTGACAGTTGTCACATATATGTATGACATGCATGGGTATGCATGCAAGGGGCGGTCTAATCACCATTCTATTGTTAGTAAGAGTATAAATGGAGAGGAGGCTCTTCATAAAATCCTCTTGGCCATATTGAATACTGAAAAAGAGTTCTAAAAAGGCAGTTGATCAGATTGTTCAATTGGACTGGAATCAAGTGAGTTGTTTTATAAATTTTGAAGGTGAGTATCTTTATTCATCATATTTTATCTTAAAAGGTAATTTCTCTTGGTTTGAGTACTGAAATTGTGTTATAAACTAACACCTAGACTTGGTCATAAATCGGACTTGTGTTGTCCGAATTCGGTATAAATCGGACATAGTGTCATCCGATTTAGAAGAAATCGATCATAGTATTGATCGGATTAATATGTTGATGAGATTCTATCTTTGTAAACTAGATAAATGTTTTAAACAGAGAAGTAGGAATACGATCAAAGGCTGTTCAAATTAGATATAATCCGACTGGTATGTTCTTCGATTTATTCATAAACCGACCAAAGCCTTGAGCGGAATTATGTAATCCGACTGAGTGAAGATCGAACTTGAAAGGTGTTGGAAAAATATTGTATATGTAAACCGGACAAGCATGATCGGGCTTGTTTTAAAGTTATCCAGATTGGTTAATCGGACAAGTAAGCTTGTGTTGTCCGGTTTGTTACACCGGCCAGGACTTACCGGAGATGAAGTCCGACCAAGTCTATGTTGAACAAATTTCAAGGTTGACCGGATTAGTAATTTGACTAAAGGTATTTGTTCAGATGAATCATTAATAAGACATTCTTTTAATATGATAAAGAATGAGAAGTTTTATAAAGATGATTTTGAACTGATAAAATTCCATTAGGACATCTATGACTTTGGTCCATTCTAATTGGAGATATTTTGTAAAGATTTGACGAGGAAATAAGGGTGGCATATCAAGGAGAGGTGTACCATGGGATAATGGTGGCATATCAAGGAGAGGTGTACCTTTGGATATAAGGGTGGCATTTGTATGTGTGTGTTATGTGATATAACTCTTACTATTTTATCCTTTAAGATTACTATGATTTTGTGTCTTTATTTCTTTGTAATTTAAAGATTTATGATCAGAGTTCTTATTGTCAATCATAGTCTGAATGTTATTGAGGAGATGATAACAGGTTTATAACATGAAGCTTTAAATAAACCATGTTTTTTAATTAAAAGGGTTTAAAGTGGTGTTATGTGATATTGGAAGGTTCCAACCTGTTTGGTTTGGGTATGTTATTTATAAAGCTAAGTGATTGGCTTTGGAAATTGGCAAGGTATTGGTATTATGTTTTACTTGTTCATATATTTGTTATATATATGAAAAGTTGATTTAAAATAAAGTTTTGATGATTTTAATCCTGCAATGACATAGAAAAAGGGATCTCACTAGACCTTCCGGTCTAACCCTCATTTTGTGGTTTTAAATATGTATTGCAGGAAGTGCTGACGGTAAAGGGAAGGGGAAAATGTGATATTTTTCTGCATATATATCTGTATAAAGATTTGTCTATCATGCATATAGTGTTTGGTAAAAGAATGATGATTAGTACATGTTGGAACCCAGATACTCTTAATTCTCAGAAAACACAGTTGATAAATAATAAGATTGAAGTACGAACAGTGTACCGAGTATGATCAAGCGAAATATTTAAAATATATAAGAATATTAAAAGACTTGAATAAATCAGATGCTTTTATTGGATGAAAATAAGAACTTTCAATCTAAATGTATTCTCACAAGAAATATGCTATAGTATAAGTCGGCACTCTCAGGTCATTTTAACCTGAGGAGGGAGCTTCCTTATATATGCCTAAGTGAAACAACTATGCTATAATTATCGCTTCAATCTCTGAGTTGCTGAGTCCGCGTCTTTATCGTTGACTACCCTTGAAAAGTGGAGCAGACTAAGTCAAGCCACCTTGATTCTATTTGACGTTTGCGAGAATGTATGGACTTACACGCGCGTTCCATGGAGAAGGAGACCAGAGGCTCTGCATGTACTATACAGAAGCTCAGCATGTTCTATGCAGAGGTTCAGCATATGTAGAGGCTCTTCATGTACTATGCAGAGGCTCTGTGTCTAGAATGTTGCTTTGCATCAAGCGCTTAAGCTTTTTGGCGCTTAAGGCTTGATCGTCCATGGAGATTGAGCGCGAGCTCTGTATGTAGGAACCTTCACTCTTTAAGTAAGAGCTTTGGTTCTCGACCTCTTCTGCATGAGAGCTCTTAGTCCAGACTGCATCAATAGACTAAGTCTTATTGACTAGAGTTAGAGGCTTCTTACTCACACTTTCACAAGATGGGGTCTAACAATCTCCCCTAAGTGTAAATAAGGCAGACTCTTACCTGAATTGAAAAACATAAGTCTAGTCGAAGCCAGAGGTTAAAAGAGACCTCTGTTTTACATTATCTAACTAGAAAGTACAATATGATGAAAGGAAAGTACATTGCTTGAAAAGAAAAAAATTGCTTACAAAAGAAGGCTTAGATGTTTTGAAGCTTGATGAACCTCCTAAGAAGCTCTTGAAACTCCAACATATTATGGATTGACCTTAGAATAATTTTAGCTCTTTTCTTTGCTCCATGGATGGTATATCTGCTTCTTAGTAGATGATCTCTGATGTAGCGCTGAGTAGCATTTGAATACTTGAAGTGCTGGTCTTCTCGAAAAAATATTTTCCTTCCTTGTTCGTTTCGGAAGACCACCCCTACTTCTGGTTCCACCGAGATGGTCCATGAGGGAATGCTGTTGATGCCTTGTAGATCTTCGTTTGGTGCAGTGACGCTCAATTGATTTACTCCCAGGTCCAGAGCTAGTTGAAAGTCAAACTTGCATCTGAAGTAGAGAAGGTCTGTCATTGTTTGTCTTATCGCAGAATTGGCGATAACATACTTGATCCCCTTGTCCTTGTTATGATCCGTGAAGTGATATAGAGACAGAAGGTCCCATGGATTCAGATTTATTAGATCACAATATGTGAACATGTTAATCTGTCCACGAGACCTCTCCACCATATACTCATGGAAGACGATTTGATTGTGCACGAAGGTTCTTTTCTTGATGTCAAGAACTTGTTTGATGCCATCGACAAAATGGACTGCAGAGATTGACTGTGTATAATGATGCAAGAACCTCTGCCTGATGTTCTCTTGGGCCGTTGGATGGAGGTTGATCTTGATGACCGGTGTCTCATCTCGCAGGCTGTAAAGAAATTGATAGATGTCTTCGCTATCTGCCTTGTCCTTGATTGGCTTGTCTAGGGGTATTGGTCTCATCATTGCATCCATACTCTCCTTGATCTTTTGAACTCGATCAGAGGGTCGTTTGGTGCTTCGAGGCCTGCTACTTGCGCCTTCTTCTGGTCTTCTTGGTTTGACAGGAACCCTCTGCCTCATAGTTGGAGTGACTACTCTGGTCCCTTAAGAAGGGACTCTAGCTCTGTGCGTATTTCTTGGTGGTGGAGGTGTAGCTATTGTAACACCTTCAAGAGGAACAACAACAGGAATGGCCGTGAGTGATGGATCAGCTACATTCACTACCACCACCTCTTCTTCTTCTTGCCCCCTTGTTGATGGAGCAGTAGTGTCCATGGCATATTTCGTTGAAGATGACAGAGCCTCTTCTGATTCGGATGAAGAGACGCATATAACTAAGAGTTGGATGACATTTTCATCTTTTCGTTGTGCTTCTGGCTCTGCATGGGATGCTGCGGGCATCTTTCCTTTGCGTAACGTCTCTGCATGTGCTGGCTTATTTTGTGCTCTCTGCCTTGTTGACCCTGGTGCTGGCTGGCTTGGGGCAGAGGCAGATGGGGGCAGAGGCAGATGGGGCAACCCTTGGTGTGATACTTGGAGCAGCTGTGGACTGGTTCTCCCCTTCTTGACGACTTTGAGGGCCAGACATGTTTGGATCCTCATCGTCGTCAAGCCTCCTTCGCTTTAAGGCTGAAGCACATGCAGAAGGTTCCATTCTCCTCTTTGGCCTTTGCTCTTTTGCTTGGGGCATGGATTTGATCCTCTCCTCAAAGAGTTTAAGAATGGCCTCTGCTGCATTCGAGACCTTAAGAATCTCCATATCAGTACGATAATTGAAGGCGGCCAATGATTGTCGTATTTGCTCTGCTGCCTCCTTGGCCTTGTTATTGAAGTCTGACATGAAGTTGGCCACCTTCTGGAGGAGACGATCACCCAGAGCATTCATGGCCGACTTGGTGACGTAGTCTACAGGGACATTCAGAGGAATGAGCGCCTGAGAGTCGTGAGATGAAGTGGAAGCTCCATCCCTCTGAATGCATGCGAGGACCCTTTACAGGGCCTCTGCATTTTGAGCCATCAAATCATGGAGTGAGTCGAGTCGAGAGGCATTCATCATTGACTCAACCCTCAGTACTGCTAAGGATGCTCGAATCTCATCTAGAGCAGATGCAGAAGGAGATGGCTCTGCACGTGCCATGTTGAGTTTTAGCTCTTCCAAGGAGCACAACATAGTGGTGGCAAAGGACTGGAACTTGTCCATTGTTACATAAGCTATTGGGGTAACCTCTGGCTCAACACATGGGCCAGATTGAGTCCTCGTTCCAAGGACACCTTCTGTCTCAACTTGATTGACGTTGGTCAAGGAAGGATTTCTAGCAGATCCTTGTGGCTCTCTTTGAGAAGAAGTCACTACTGCTGTTTTGTCGTGAAGGGGTTCCAAGGCAGGTTCAGAGCCAGCCAGAGGACCCTCCACGAGTGGACTAGGAGATCAGTCGAGAATATCCAAGTCTGGTGCTCCTAAACCTTGCTCTGAACAAGGTGGGGAAACTACTGGTGCAGAGGAAACTAATTCCTCTAGTTGGGATGGTGGCGTGATATGGGGAGACATATCACTTATCATTTCAAAGGTTTCATCATTTTGAGAGGGTGATCCCTGATACGTGGCTTCCCTTTGGCTCAATTGACCAGAGGCAGATGCAACCTCTGGTTGGTTTCGCAGGTCAGGGTTTGAGGTGTGCACCTCTGTATCAATGACCTTCGTGTCTCGACCACTGGAGTCAGATGATGTGGTAGCACTAGAAGTTGGGCTAGTGAAATAAGTGTGCTTATTCACCATCCTAGGCTGCTCTGGCTCACCCTGAGGCAGAGCAGCTGYTTCACCTCCTCCCTCCTCATCTTCTTCTTCTTCTTCTTCTTCTTCACTCTCTTCACTTGTTGTATTTGACCTAGAAACATCATCAAAATGTTCTTGGTCATCTTCTTCATCAGAGTTAGAGAAGTACTCCAAGCCTCGATTGGCTTCTTCCTTTACTCTGATTCTCTCTTCTTCCTTTAGACGAGCAATCTCTACTTGTCTTGCTCTTTCTGCCCTCTTCTCTTCTGCTTGTAAATGAGCAATTTCTTCAAGTCTTGCTCTTTCTTCCTCTTCCTTCCTCATTCTCTCCGTTTCCACTCTCTTCTTTCTTGCATCTTCTCTCTTTCTCTTTTTCTATCTCTCCTTCTCCAATCTCACTTCCTCCTCCTCTGCCTGAGGCCTATGAGTATCCTCTATTCCCTCATCCTCTTGGTTTGATCCTATGTGTGCTGGGGTTCGAGTCATAGGTTCTTGTGGCTTGCATACACGTCTGTATGCTCTTCTTACATTCCTCGTCTTTATGTAGGCTAAGAGCTTCATCGGGATAGGCCTTTCTGTAACATATCCTTCTTTGTTGACTATGGGTTTGTAGTGTGTGAGCACATTCACCTTGTGCACAGGCAAAGTTCCCACATTAATATCGTGTTTGTCGATGATGGGTCTTAGAAGAAGACCCAAAAATCGAGGAAACAAAAGTGACAAGTCCTTTCCCTTAGCCACCTTTTGGCACTTCTTGGCTACAACAGCCTTGAACTCTGTGTAGAAATGATAAGTCAAAGAAGATGCCGTACATGTGACAATTTTGCATTTTGGAATTTCAGGTTAGTATCCCATTTTAGGACCTTTATTGACAACTAAGTCTTTCTAGGATTTAGCTTCGATGATCTGAGATCATCTTGCTTATCTTCCAAGATTAGTTTGTTAGGTCACGTTTCGGCGGGTAGCTAACCAAGTTAGTTCGTGCAATGCCAAATAGTTTTGAAATATTTCACATGAAAATAAAGTCGATACTTTCGTTTCGTTCTTCTCAAAATTCAAATTTCCAAAGTTCCAATCTTTTATATTTGGTTGCCAATTATTATATTGAAAGAGTGGAGCTTTAAAAATCTTTTGTCAAAATTGTTTAGTTTGTTCTATTTATTGGGGTCTTTTATTTTGTAAATAAAAGTCTTTTTGGGCTTGGGCCTTTAGAGGTCAGCCCATTCCTTATATTGAATACCCATATAAATACCCCTTCCCTTTTGAAAATTCTTGACTTTCCAAAATTTCCAGCCATTTCATCTTTTCTCTCTCTAACTCCATCACTTTCCAACCGATTCCATCTCCTAGCAAAACTCAAGATTTCTGCTGTTCTTGAGACTAGTTCGTAGTCTCTTTTTGATGTCCGAAAACCTTTATCCTTCTCCCTAGTCAACTCTTTGAGTAAGATTTATGGGATTTAAGGAGGAGAGATTATTAATCAAAGACCTGCATGTGTCTTCGTTGGGATGATAATCCGTGACCCAAGTTCTTTAATCTCCAAGAAAGAAAGAGATATTCCTTGCATGTGAGGTCCGATCACATTTTCGGATGATAGTTCTTGCATGCAACTTTAACCGGATTTATCCTCTTGAAAACTTGTTGGAATCGGAACTTATTTTGTTTTCTGGAGTTGTTCGAAGATGATGGCTTTGTGTTAGAGTTTTGATTCTTGAAAATGTTGAGCTGCATGCAATCGGTGTTGAAGGCGTGTGGCTCAAGGATTGTGGTTTATTCTTGAAAAGAGGGTTAAACCCACTCAAAATCTCTTGGTTTTGGTAATTGGCGGCTTTCATCATTTATTTTGGGATGACATTTAATGATGTCATTATTTGGATTTTGGAAGGTTCCTTTTTAATAAATAATTAAAATCGGCCTTATTTTATAAAAACACTTGGTGGCTTTGCATTTAGAACAACATTGCTCTACCTTAGCCAAGGAAAACCGTAAGTAATATAGTGCTGGTTGGTCTGTCARGAMGTTCGAGCGAGCATAGCAAGTCCTTAAAGGAATCATTCGGATAATCGCCAAACAAGTGAGTTCTCACGACCCCACTTTTAATGCTTTTTTTTATATTTTCTGGGGGGAAAAGCATGAAATTGAGCAAACTTTGCATGTTTATGTATTTGAAATATTGGGACTAAGGAACTGTTTAGTCGATGCTTTGCTCAAAACCGTTGGGCTAAGGAACTGCTTAGTCGGTTTCATTATGTTTTGTTTTGGCAACTGTTTCCGCACATAGAATAAATGCTAAATTGATGCGCTTGAGAGTATATGTTTCCAAATAAAAGTCCCCGTCCGTACACGCKACTTGTTAACTCGGGTACATCCCCGGGCCGTGGTATTGTGGATAGCCGCTATTGTGTTGACAGTCCCTACGTTTTCTAGGCTAATCATGTGGAATTTGGACCACCGCTGAATTAGTTCTTTATCGAACCGTGGGACCTAAGTAGTGAACGGGCTACTTCTGGTTGTTCGAAAATTAATGGGGCATATTGGTCAGGTAAGGCTCAGTAGCGTCTCAAGTGTTACATCGCGAGGGATTTACATTTATTAAGTGCAAAGAATTCACATAAGTTTGCTATTACTTGGTTTATGCATTGAAATGTTTTTATGCATGTTAAAACCCGTGAACTCACCAACTCTTTGTAGTTGACCCCGTTTTTATTTCCATGCTTTTCAGGTTCTAAGTGAGTGGTTTGGATTTTAAAGGAGCATACTTGAGCCAAGATCGATTAAGTCAAGTTTTTGATGTATTTGTGAACGTTGTGTAAATTCTAACTCCTGTTAYGTCGATRAATCMTTTTATTTKGAACAACTYSAAATAGTGTTATTTATGAACTGTTGCTATGACTCGCTTGCCTGTTACATCTCGTGATTCCGCTTTAGCGGGGTGTGACAGATTTGGTATTAGAGTCTCAGTTATAGAGAACACTGGTTTTCTTAAAAAAAAAACCATCGACTATAACCAAAAATTTTCCAAATGATTTTCATGAAATCTGAAATCATGTGTTTTAAAGCAGGTTTTATTGTTACATATCGTTTAAGTAGAGCCTGATCACCTGTGCTTAATTGATGTGTAATAAGAAGAAAACTTAATCGATCCTAACAAGAGGTATGCTCCAGCAAAAGAAATAATTTTGAAAAGCCTGAATCTTGTTGCACTTTTTTTTATGAATATTCGTTTCCTAGGACCAGAGGCAAAGGAAATTAGAATGCTCGATTTCTTGTTAAGTGTCCATGTAGGACCAGAGGCACTGGTCAAGAAGACCAAAGGCGATGGAAGATAGAATGCTTGACTTTAGCCAAGTGTCCTTGTTGAGCAGAGGCGCTGGTCAAGAAGACCAGAGGTGATGAAAATTGGAGTGCTTGATTCTTGATGAGTGTCCATGTAGGACCAAAGGCGCTGGTCAAGAAGACCAGAGGCGCTAGCCAAGAGCCGATGAAGAACCAGAGGATCGATGGAAGGATTTCTTAGAATTTCTCTAAGTATAGATATTGCCACAGAGGCTCTGGTCTCGCAACCAGAAGCTTTGGTAAGGGTGAATAAAAGAACCAGAGGATCGATGGAAGGATTTCCTAGAATTTCTCTAAGTATAGATATTGCCACAGAGGCTCTGGTCTCGCAACCAGAAGCTCTGGTAAGGATGAATAGAAGAACCAGAGGACCGATGGAAGGATTTGTTAGAGTTTCAAGGTGTCGATGTTGCAACAGAGGCTCTGGTCTCGTAACCAGAAGCCCTGGTAAGTGCATTAAGTAGAACCAGAGGCTCTGGCCTTGCTACCAGAAGCTCTAGTAAGTGTATTAGGTCGATGAAGGTAAGATCTATAAATATTTCTAGTATGAGGAGTAGGTCAGTTATTGATAGGATGGAGTTCCATTGGATTATCAGAAAAAAGATGGATAAGAATTCCTTCTCTAAGGACTCTAGTGCAACCAGAAGCTCTGGTCTCACGACCAGAAGCTCTGGTAGTATAACCAGAGGTTTAACCAGAGGATATAGTATGCTTGTCATAACTTAGTTTTATTTAGGAGCTTCTATTGAATCACTAAGCTTATGCTAGAGGATGCACCTTAGTAACTAAGATTGTTCATGTCACAGATCTCGGCAATGTCTTCTGATCCGAGTGAATATTCTGCCGATGATTCCGGATATGTAGTTGGTCGCTCCAGAAGGAACTCAAACCGCAACGAAGAGGTGGACCCGTATGACCAGGATACGGCTTTAAGTGATGTCGCTGCCACACCACAAGTGTCCTACCTACCCCCGACGGAGCCAGTACCTAACATTCCGCCACAAACCTATCACGGTCCAAGAACCAGGGTCACACCCAGGAAGAGTGTTCCCCAGCCACGGAGAGTGACATTTGAAAACTGTCACACCCCGCTAAAGCGGAAACACGGGATGCTAACAGACAAGCGGGTCATAGCAACAGTTCATAAATAACACTATTTTAAGTTGTTTTAAAACAAAACGGTTCATCGACATAACAAGAGTTAGAATTTACACA